GTATTTCTCAATGCAAAATCTACGGCGGGAACAGACCTGAGGGGAACGGGGAAATCTTCAAAAACCAAACTCGTAACTGCTAAAAATTCAGAAGTCAAAAGAAAGCGAAGTGAATTCTATGTACCAGTTGTGCCAGCATTCCCTTTTCTGCAGAAAGTGAACCCATAAAAGGAAAGAGTAAGCTTAAATTTATGTAAATTCACAATGAAATGTGTTTGTTTAATGTGTCTGCTGCATGCAAGCCTCAGGAGGTTAATGTTTATTCTAACTTCTAATTTACCCTTGCTCTCTCAACTGACAGGTGCTGTCACACACTTCCTCCAACCTTTGATAAATTCAGCTTTTTGTCAATGAGGCAAAAGGCCTGATGCTGTTTGTTGGGGGGTGAGTGGGGCAAAGGATAATGAATGATCTCCACCCTCAACTGGAACTGGCAACAGGGGTGTGAGATTGGATCAGCGGTCCAATCCGGTCCAGCCATTTGCCAACGATGCCGATTTATGTTAGGTAGCCTTCCCTCCTTGTTGTGTCAGCATATTTGCATTTATTAGCAGCAGAGACTGCTGTTCCTTTCGCATCGTTTTTAACTTAACCTACTCCACATTCAAAACCCCAATGGAGAAGGGAGGGGAGAGAAGCGCTCCAAGGTGCTTACCGTCCCTGTCCTATTGTTTCTTTTTTTCCTTATTCGTATCCATTTCATGAATTCATAACCATGTTTATACTTATACCTGTTATCTAATAATCGCTTGACAAAATAAATAAAATAAAATTGCTAGCAAGTCAGCAACGGAAGTTCGCTCCACTCGAAGAGAGGCATTGGTTAGTGTCCAACAACAGCACCAATTATGCCAGTGGAAAGTCAGGAGTTCGAATATGTACATTCGCTTTCAGGGATATCATCTTTGTAATTGTTTACAAAGCAGCCTAAGCCCAAATTTCTGGTTGTATTTAAAAAAAAAAAAAACACCAAAACCACAGGACTTTATATGTCCATCCAAGGGGCTAAAATTCTTTTTTTGTTTGCAAATCTACCTTATTATGTAATATCTGTGCATGTATGGCCCAACAATCTGAAATATGGACTATGCAAAAAAGAGGGAGGGAGGGAGGGAGGGAGGGAGGGAGGGAG